GACAGCGGGCGGACATCTGCCTTCTGCATGCCACTCCGCTTCTGGAACCCTAGCGCTGGGAAGGGGATGCAGTCGTCACGTTGCACTGAAAAAAAAGTCTTGCTGACGTCGACCGTGCTTCCACAGTTTTCTTGCCCTGCATTTTCTGTCCCCAAGTCCTTGACTATATATACTTCTCGGTTTTTCTGATCTGACATACCGAGATGCACTATCAACTTGTGTATGAAATCTGCACAGCTGTTCCTGCGAATTTGCTGGGTTTATGTTTGTGTTGGCGACGACAAAACAAAAAGTTATCCTACTTGTAAGTGAATTGTAAGTTCGGAAACAAGAAGACATCATAAGTTAATAGTAACCTCACTTATAGGACTTATAACAGAGAGAACCTGACAGTAGCAAGCATTCGTCTACACAGTCTTGGCTTCCTCTGCTTGGCGAGATGCTGCAACAAACCACGTAGAGCACGTAGGAGATTGGCAGGGCATCACTTCCAACCTCAGTCTAAGGATGTTACGACGAGGGCATCTTTACTCTGCCACATTACTGCATGTCACAGCTCTCGCCAAGGCACAGAGCCGAGGATTTGGGGGCCCAAGCGATGACGCACGAGACGATTGAAGCGTCTACAGTACTCCTGGCAAAAAGCCGATGCCACGACTCATTTCCATGAATTCTCAGGCTTTCGATCGCTGGGACATTCGACATACCAGGCTGTTGACCTACGGCGTCCTCGCCGACATCACCTGGTCGCCCAAACCACTGCTGAAGCATCTGCCCAACAGCGGCACGATCCTCGAATGAGTCGAACCATGGACTCATGGATGCTGGACTTCTGCTTTCGACCCTTCCCTCAGAATCTGTTTAACAACGGTTCTGCTCTGCCACTGATTGCTAAGCGAAGGCTCACAGTGAATTTCTGCCCCCGTATCCGGATGTCTGTGGTGATTCAGGCAGCAGTAGCACCTCAGGTCTAAGGTCTGGCTGCAGGCCGCTCCTCTGCCGGCACAGCTGCAGCAGAGGGCACTCGCATTGCTGGACCCGAAAGTTGCACACCTGGCGGGGCAAGTCCTCCAGTTCCTGGCATGCACAATGTGAAGACAGAAGTCAGAGTCGTCTCTGTTACAACTCGAGCGTTGGTCCTGCATGAGACCCATGCCAATATAATTGAGCGCAGGAAAGATTGCAACGACGGCTGCAGCCACCAGGCTCCTCGGTTGCGCCAGCAGGAGCGGGCTTTTGCAGGGCGTTGGGTCTTCTGACCTCCTGGGCCAAAGGGCTAAATGCCGCTTAGCAGCCCCACCTTGAGATGGCGTCCAATGTGACCACTTTCAATGTCTAGCGAAGCGTAGAAAACGGCCGCCGCGATCACTGCGAAATGTGACATGAGTGCCATCAAGACCCCCATCTTCAGCGGCACCAGCCGAATATGCGCATGCTTGTCACTGTCCTTCATAAACGTTGCAAGCTCAAAGCCTTAGTCGAGCAGGGTCCACTTCCGCACACTAGAAATCCTGAAAAGCAACCCTGGGCCTGAATAATGGATCACTTGATAACTGCCACTCTCTAGATGACCGCCAAGGGGAGCCTCAAGCGAGGCTCAACTTGTCGGACAAGCCGCTGCACCAAAGCCGGCGGAAGTAGTGCTTGGACCAAAGAATGGTCAGTTCATCCGAGCGGTCCAGGAACGCTGCCAGTCCCAGTACCCCCTGCGAGCTGAAAACTTCGAGGTGTGCACTCCACGTCTGTTGACGGATGAACGCTTGCTGTCTTTCAGGTTTCTGAAGTTTCTGATCTGACTTGAAAAAGCGGATGTCATGCTACTGATTACGTTGAGAGCTCGAAACAGAATGCATTTCTTTTCGGATTGGACGTCCTGACCAAAAGCAATGTGCAACATATCCATGGCGCCTTCTCTTTGAGGTTCTCGTCATGCTGTGCAATGCAGAGCTTGTCCAAGAAAACCACAACTGGAAAACCCACGAAGCTTCTGATCCGCTGCCAGAATAGGAACACAAGCCAGAATGTGGCATGCGGCAGGGCAGCAATCCACATATCAGAGGGGAATACCTGAGCCGGCATCTTACAGCGAGAGGCTGCAAGAAATCGTTGGTTCAAAAAAACGCGCCCCTCAGCCGACCGAGCGTGCGACAACATGTGAGCGATAATAAACTGAGAAACAAAGGAGCCTAGCCTGCTAGCCCTGAACCTCGCCGAAATAACCCCCATCAGAATCGTTGAAACTCTGAGGGGCTGGATTTCTGATTTCAGGACCAGGCCTTTCCAAAAGCCCTCCGAAGGCCTTCTGGAGGCTTGGCCGACAGCCCACCAAGTTGTTCGTGACTGAGGGGGTTGAATCTCTTTAGTCTTACCAGTCCTGTACAAAATTAAGCAACTCAGTTGCTTGATTTGGAATGATTTGGATGGCTCCGGGAAGCTTTCCAGGGTGCACGGCCTTAGATGAGCCCTGCAGGGGCCTCGCAAGGGCCACGAGCCTTGCAACGGCCTCTGGAAGGCGTAGCCGGGTACGCCAACGTAAGAAATTGAGGGGGGAAAAGTCCAAAATTGAAGCAAACCGAGCCCCTCAGTTTCTTAGTTCGGGGATCCAAGCGGCTTTAAGGAGCTTAAACACCTGCCGAACAAAAACACCAGAGTTTCCGGTTCGAAGGGTCGATTTCTTGCTGAAGGGCCGGATTCGACAGCATGTACCAAGGCATGAGTTTGGATATTTGGTGGGAACGCGCCGGCGTTCCGCCTCCAGCGGCGTTCACAGTGGGGTAGTGGGGCAGGTACAAGGGATGCTTGGCAGCATGCTATGCGAATGCAAACATTTCTGTCGCATGTCGAGGCCGAGTTTAGGCAGAAGCACAGCATTGCAGCCGGGGTGCCCCGACAGCACACAGAAGTCCTGTCAGCACACTGACGATAGTTGTGGTGATCGAGGCTGCGCGAGCCTGTCGATGCAGGCGGACTGTCTAACTGCTTTCAGTACGCCGACTGCAGCAGAGTGGCATTGAAGGCAATTAGAAGCGCAATCACCTTCATCCATCTGGATGATGCCCAGTCGTGGCTGAGGAAGGCCTTAGTAAGTATTCACTATATGTACGAGTAACGACCTTTCCGTCAGTTCATCCCGCAACACCTGAGTTGGTCACCGGCATTGCCCACTATTCAACTTGTACAGACCAAGCGACATGAAACTTGGCAGTCTTTCGACTCAGCGCATAGTTCTTCGGATCCACATGAAACATTCCAGAATCTGGTGGATGCAGGTGTCGTCCAAGACCCTGCAGAGCGACGTCAAGCCGCACACCACGAAGAATCTCTGGGTCAACCTGTCGACAGCTCTGACAACTACCGAGGATCCGATGACACTATTCATTTCCACTTCTCGCAGACATTGCCAGGTCTTAGTCTTCCCTCGCAGTGTCATACATGCACGGGCAATTCAAGGGTCTGGTTTCCACTTCTTCAAGTCCCGCACAGACTGTGTCAAGTTCTGCCCTTCTGCACGTCTAGTGTGTCTTTGAGACAATCGCTGGGTTTTAAGTCCTAAACAGGCTTGAAACTGCCCGGACCTTTTTGTGCGAAAGAGCCGTCATCTGGTGAGAAGCCGGAAGAGCCACTGCACAGCTGCCACAACTGTCGTGAGTTTAATCAGTTTAAACACCAGTGAGCAGGTTGCGCCTCCGTGAGAAGCTCTTTTGCCGTCGGTGAAGGCCCAGACATCGGTGAAGGCCCGGACATTGACATGCTTGAGTTCTCGCTCTGCTCCGTCCTGGAGAGATGGGACCAGTGCACGTCACGTGCTTTAGAACTCGGGCTCTCGAGTGCCGGAGTCCTGAATCTTCCTGAGAACTCCCACGTCGATTCTGGGGATGACATCATGGTCGAGGTCTTTTTGACCCCGGCGAATCCGGAGAATGCTGTTCCACATGAAGTGGTTGCCCACTCCGACTCTCTAGTTGAAGGCTCATCTGCATCAGCAGCGTTGCATCGTACCGGCAATCCTTGCGAGGCTGGCTGCAAATGCCAACATACTCATGTCTGACTACAACAGCTGAACTCACGAATGCTTGTCTGCCGGGCAAAGCTCCTGTTGAAGTTTCTGCCGGATCTGTCGCCATTGCACGAACACGGCAATGATCCACAAACTCACGCAAGTGACCACGAGTCTAGTCTTTAAAGCTTCGGATGCTTCAGTTTCCTCCCGATTCGTCCGACGGGCTACTCATCAACGTTTTTCATCGACAGTCTTCGCACAAGCATGAAGAAACAACGATGGAATGCACCTCGTTGCTGAGTAGTCTCCGATATGGCAGGTCGTGTGGCTAGGCATGCTACAGTGCAGCGAGGCAAGCGAGGCTGCTTGTTCGCCTTCGTGAGCATCGCACAGTGGGCTTGACGACACTCTGCCGCAACCTACCGTCTCGTTCTTAATTCGAAAATAACTCTGAACTTGCAGAGCATGCAGCCTTGGCAGAATTGTTACAACAAGAACTCAGCACCGCGTGCAGGTGGCACGAAGCCGAGACATGAATCTTGCCAGTGGTAAACGCGACTGCCTTGCTGCTCCATGCATTCGGTACACATGTATGTACAACGAACTCCAAGCCGTGCCAAACACAGGAAGCTTTCACATAAGAGACCTCCCTGGACTCTCGCTGGTACTGGCAGTGTGACAGCTAAATTCTGGATGGCTAAAGAGGGCCTTCGCTGGCCCTTCTCTTCACTTTGGCAAGGCTCGGCCGGAACTGGTCGGTGGCTGACATGCCCAGGCTCTAGGTCTTTCGAAGCTCAGGGGAGTACACAAACACTCAGAAGCTCTACTTTCACTCAACATCCCGACTTGACATGCCGATTAAGCTGAAAGACCTACAGGTCAACACGACTGGATATCTACATGACCTCTTCGTTGCAAAGGTGCTGGTTGCATGGAAACAGGGGTGCCAGCAACTTGCAGAGAACAACTGCAGTGAACAGAAGCGTCAAACCACCAATCTACATCCATCTACGGCTTTTGTTAGCAGCGTCGCATGAACTTGCTTCCTGGCCGCCCTGCTAGTTCATGTCTCCTGTGCGAGAACGCCAGCAATGTCGCCCCAGGATCCGACAAAAGCGTGTGATCCGCAAAATAGGTCTTGAAGCGGAAGAGCTTCGTTGGGCTGTGAAATTTGGCTCAATCAACACTGTGAGCATTTGGAAGCCGGGATCCCTGGCCGATAGCAAAACTGGCTGGCAAACTCAAGCATTGCCCCACAACTCCACGCTGTTGCACAGCAAACGGCGATCCTGATGGATCTCTTACATCCCAAGTACTGACTGTCGACATCGGGATTATTGGATTGCCTGTGCTAGGGAGACTTGAAGCAACGAGGCGTTGTGAGGCTGAAGTAATTCAGCATCACTCTTGCAAGGAGAAGGGAGCAAGCTCCACATGGCCTCGCAGGGTTTGAGCTTCTAGTAATTGCCCAGAGCTCGAAGGTAACATGCACACACACACACAAAGAGAACCATGCTTTCAACCGTGACTGGTGCCGCCGCGGACTGACGAGGCTTTAACACATTGAGATCGCGGAGGCCATGGGATGCAACACCACTTTGGGGAAGAAGTAAGTTGGCACCTGGGGTAGACTCACAGTCTTCGCAGCCCGCTGCGTCGAGCATGCACTGCCTGAGTGAGCGACTCCGTTGGTGCGCTTACAGTAACTGCGACGCGAACATCTTCTGGAATGACAGCTTGATTCCCAGCCTAACGCTACTTGCATCAGGCTGACACAATCGCATCGCGGCCATAGCGGACTGCCGTGCTGACCTCCCGCGCATCTCGCATCATGAAACGAACCACGATCATGTGTGAACTATACTAAACCTGGTGTTCCTGTGCACCCATATTATGCTCCTGCATACAATCAAAAGCAATCCCACCGGCATCGCACCGAAGATGTCCCGTCTGGCCAGGTTGGCGCCGAAGTCGCACAAAACTTTCACCACTTCCTTGGCCGGTCGAACAAAGTGCACAAGTGCCCAACAATCCAACTGCGAAAATGCAGCTTGAAGGCTAGGTTTCCTCTGGCGGCGGCCAAGTGCAATGGCGAGAGCCCCGGGTAGGCGAGGACATTCCTCGACTGAACACAACACACAACACTACACTAATTAGGTGATTTGAGGCCAGTCACAGACGTATCGACATTGCGCACTGTACTTCCAACCGAGCTGCATGTCGACGTGCTGCTCGCACAGGAATCGCGCCACTTCCTCACAGCATTGCAGTAAATCTCGGGCTGCTCAAACGGATGTGCCATGAGGATGTGTCCCGTCCGGACTCAATCGGTGCAGTACCAGTTGAAAAGCGCAGCAGCACACCGGGCGGCAGGCGGACGGACAAAGGCAAGAAGAGAGAACAACACTGCGCGTCGATCAGAGCTGGGAGACATTTCCCGCCCAGATACCTCTTGGTCAAAGAGGGCAGCCATATGTAGCGGCCGACTGCCGCTGCCTGAGTTCGAACGAAGCGGGGGTGTGGCTTTCGCTCTTGGAATGGTGTTGGGCTCTTCCATGACGGATGATCCAGCAAACATCAGTGTGTGAAAAGCTTTGACCACGCATCAGGCAGCGATTCCCCAACAGCACAGCCAAAAGGAGCTTGGGCAAAATTTGCCTTTTACAGACAAGAAACATGCGAATCCACCCTTCAAGGGAGACACGTTACATACACGCACTTGCATAGACCATACGCCCTGAACAAACTCGCTGCTTTTCGAACTGGCTCCAAAATTCCAAGCACTGGGGGTCTTCCAAGAGCATTCCAGAAGACACACGCCATTACATGGGAGTGTCCGCATGCTGCGTATTAGCTCGGAATTCTGGGCTTAGGCTTGGCCTCAGGCTCTAGCTTGCGTGTCGTGCTTTCCAAGCTGCTACTTGTAGCCTCTAGGTCGGCGCGCAGCTCGAAGAGCTCGCGTGCGACAACCTGCAAGACGGCACTACATGTAATCCAATGCGAGTTCAGGCAAACTCTCGAAGCGGTGATCGCGGACCCTTCGTGCACTGTTCGAGCGCAACCAAGACAGTTCGTGGAAGCCAACGCGAGAGCGCTGCTGGGTGAGATCTTGTCCCATGCCGTGCGCAACCCTCAGCTACCTGAAGCTAATGAACAATGTCAACCGCTCGCGGACGCAAACAGTTGCGCTGTGGATCGCTGGCTAAGCTGAATATGCTTCAGGAAACCGCCAAATCTAAGCAATGCAGCAGTACATGGCCGAAACCTCGTATCCGAATCGCGCTGCCAAGTGTAGAGGAGTGTATCTTTGGCGATCCCTGCTGTCGATCAGCACTCCTGGCAGAAGGACTCGCGGAATACCATTCCCACTGACAGCATCCTGCGCGGCACCTTCTTCAGCCAGCCACCGAACAATGAGCAAGTCGCCACAGTAGGCGGCTACGTGAAGCGGCGTCCTGTAACGTAAGCTTGCAACGAAGCGATCAATTTTATGTAAGTTATTGCTCAATGGATGCACGATACCGCCACGATGTCTCGCCATGTCTCGCCCACCTGCCATTGCGGTTGGGTTCGGCGATGCCTCATTCCGAGACGTGGCATGATTGCAATACGACCAAGTACATCAAGCAGCCATACGTCTCAAGCACATCAACCAGAGCATGCCACTTACGATACCAGGTTTTCAATCGCAGCGAGGTGCTGGCTCCAGCGGCATGGAGTCTTTGCACGAGCGGCAGGTACCCTTCTTGAATCGCAACATCAATCAGCCTGCACCAGGCGCCGCGTGTACAACACCTCTTTTGGGCGTTCATATGCAGTCATGGGTGTTTCCGAAAATAGGGGACCCTAATGTACCTTAAATAGTAGGATCCTTATTATTAAGGACCCAAAATAAGGGTACCCTAATTTTCAGAAACTCCCTCATGGGTGCTGCCAGCGGATCACCGCTGCTTGGCGCTTCGAGGCCTCGTGCCGCTCTTGTCCATGGCCTAGCCAGTACCATCAGTACCAGTTTACCGCAAGCAGAGTGCGAAACTCCCGAAAGCTCACGTTGCCTTGAACTTGAAGGGTCACGACAGCTCCTCCGGCCTCTGCGTTCGCGCCGGCCTCGCACAAAGCCTTCAATGCATCAAGATAGCCTGCAGCCAGGTGATGCGCACAAAGAATTAGCAAGGACCAGAACTTGTATCTTCTCCATCAAGAGATTGTCCAAGCTTTGCTAGGCTTCGCATTTCGAGGCCTCGCTGGCACGCAGGGAAGGCCGGAGACATGGCATGTGGGCCAGGCGCCTCGGTGCATGTCGCAGCTGACCGACAAACGTTTGTACAGGTGATACACGTGCGAATCGTCTTTAGCCAAGCCGAGGCTTCTGAACCTGTGCAAAAGTGGCCCCTCTGCTGAGTGTCCAATGCTGCAGTTGAAGGACATTGGGATCGGCATCGCCATTGCACAAGGCCCGGATAACCTGGGAGTGAGGCATGCTTCCCATCGTTTGGGGCATCGGAAAGCAGGAAGCGCTTCAGAACTCGTGGGCACCTCCACGTGATTCTTCTGGCAAGCGATGTGCAGGGGCCGCCGCCCATCCTTGCATTAGGTCCGTTAAGTGGAGAGCCAAGGCCTGCTTGCATTTCCCATCTCTTCCTTTGCTGTCCTCCGCCTCAGCGTTGGGCTCAGCTCGAGCAGTCAGAAGGCACCTGGCACAGCTTTTGGGAACTGCGCTCTTTCTCTCACAGTCCACCAGCCTCACGACTGCCAGATGGCCACTCTGTGAAGCCAAGTGCAGCGGCGTTGCCCCGTTCTTCATGGGCTTCTCCTGCACTGTGAACTCCCACGACACTCACACTCCTCTCCTGAAGTTCCTCACCCTCTAAAGACAAATTGCCAAGTTAACCCAGGCCGCGACTGCAAGCCCTCAAGGACCTGCCTTGCCTTTCCTTCCCTTAGCCTTACTCCGTCCAACAAAGTGTCAGAGGCAGCCTTTGAAGCACCAGCTGCAAGCAGTTCGACAACCATGTCGAGGTGGCCGTGAAACCTGGGTTTCAAACATCACATGATCCGAAAAGTCCATGATGGATGTTTGCTTAGGTTACCGCAAGTATCCAAGATTGGGGTCTTGTCTCTATGCAGCGGTGGAAGAGGCCCGAGGTAGGGAAGGCAAACTGGGGCAATGCTATCCAAGGCCCCCCTGGTGAATGAAGTTGAGCCGTAAGTACCACAACCGCAGACAATACTGCACTCAACGTGTATCATCCTCAAGCTTCTAATTCGAAGCAATCCCTATGCAAAGAGATTGGAGCAAGCTTTAGACTCTTGACCGTGGTATGCTGCAGTCAAGCTGACCAACCACATCGACTTCAAAAGTCTTATCTCACTGGTCACAGCAGCAACTTGCCCAAACCACTCGCACTGCGAAACAGCTTCAACTTCCAGCACAAAGCTTGTTGGAGCATCTGGAGGAAGGAACAGTCCAGGACTTTGACTTCAGTGTTGGACGGCTTTGCTTCGGAAGCGTAAGCGAGAGCTGGTGAAGTACACCTTGATGCCTGGCCACGATGCTGCCAGAAGAGCCGTGAGGCCATCACTGGACCTGGCGAAGTCCTTGTCGCTCAAAAGCAAAAGCTCTCTTCCCAAGCTCGACAAACTCGAAAAGGATCGAGAATCTAGCTCGGCTTCTCTTGCTGCAGAGGCTCTGGGGGTGCTGGCCGGCGTAATGCTTCTCGAAGGCTTGGCAAATTCCCGAACCTACACAGGAGAGGCAAAGTCCCGAGTGACGCCCACGAGCAAAGCAAACCGAGCCCTGCCTGGCGCTGTCGATTAAGTGTGTTCCAGCTTCAAGTTCGCACGGTGTGCAAACGAGCCTTAGCGGCTGAGATGCTGTCAGCAATGCTGAGGTGCCCCCTGACCGACTGCACAGCCACAAAACGTCGCGTGTGGACAGGGTCTGGACTCCCAAGCGGACGCACCGTCCAGCGGAGCATTGACCAGTGACAGCAGCTGGAAAGGTAGAAAAAATGCAGCCGTACAGCCCAAGCGCATGGTCAGAAAGCATCCCACACCGACAGCTGAACAGAACTAACAGACCACCTCTGCAACTCAGCAGCACCAACTCCAACGTAGACGTATTCGTCACAACCGACTCCACAGAGGCGTCGTCTTCGAGAATTTTCTCCCCTGACCGAGGCTTCTGAGTTCACTGCAATAGCTGGAAACATGGCGCGACTGCCTCTACGAAGTTATCCTCCAGCAAAACTCTAGAATCTGCATGAAGGAAGATTCACGTCCAAGGGGGCAAGTCACGCTAAGATTCGCTCGACTGCCTTGTGCGGCTTGGAAGGGTGCTGCTGAATGTTCAAGCTTGCTCCACGGCAATAGACAGAGCTGACAAATTCAATGAACGCAGTAGAACCGGAAAATCAACAAGTAGGAAACCCAGAGGCTGAGGCCTTCCACAAGAATAAGGGGAACTGTTGACGTGACGGTTCGCTCTGTATGGTGGAGCCCAGCAGCCGATCAAGACGAAAGCAATGTGACAGTACACGTACACGTACATTGGCATACATGAGACAATTCAGAAACTTACGCACAAATGTTCTGCATGAATGGGTATGTAACGACTCATACATGCACAAATGCATGTGTTTCTGTGTCTACATACGTGTATATAAACAAACAAAATTTAAATGAACATACGTACATACATACATACATACATACATACCTTCTAATTTACATACATACAGACAGCCCTACATACAGACATACATACATACATACAGCAGTGCATGCATACGTACATACATACATACATACATACATACATACGTACATACATACATACATACATACATACATACCTGCAACCTAATTACATACATACATACAACAATACCTGATGCGGTGTATTTTTCCATGCACATAAGCCTCTCTACGTCTGCGCCAGCTTAAACCCCCCGGGTGTGGCACAAACCTATTGTTACATAGCTTCAGAAATACATACGTGCGTATTTATATTAAATTGCAACATAAACTGCGCTACCCCCACTTCGAACCCCAAAAATTGGCCATCCAAGCCGCAACCCGGTATTCGTGTGCCAGATGAACAGGACTTCCACTTGGTTCCTGGGCGTGCCTCGGGATTCCTGGAAGCAGGCCTGAATTCCGGAAGAGTACAACATTAGCTGGTTCGGGCAATATTGTGTGTTTCGTTCGAAACATGTATTGTTTGGGCGGCGACTTATGTATTTGGTGCTTCCGCGCCCTTCTGCAGAGCAACGCCTTCCGCAGCCCTTCCGCGTCCTTCCGCGCGCACAGTCCCAGCAAGATTTCGAAATCGAGTGAAAGTTTTGTGTCCAGCTTTAATCTTCCGTAAAGAGGCGGACAAAAAATGCGCAATATGTGGACACTCATCAGCAGTGCCGGATGGAGGGTGCAGATGCCAGTGTCACAACCCAAGCAACTTACCTTGCTGGCTGAATCCTGCCGCGCAATAGCAATTCCAAACACATCCACTCCAAAAGAAAGGAGGGGACAGGGGGATGGGGCATGGCGCAGGGCTGAATGCCCTCACTGGGGGGAGGCCTCTGCCGTCTGGCTGCAAAACCCAGAGCATCGAATATCAGAATT